CACACAACAACAATCAGAAATCAATGGAAATGTTGGATTTTTGTCGGTGGCTCTGTCACCTGTTACAGTCTTCCCTAACCAGGTACACACCAGATGTCTTGGACTACACCTCCCATTAACCCCACATAGCATGTCCTCCTCAGTGACAGCTTCGCCTTGGGGTCGCCATAAATCCGAAAAGAAGACAATTGGTGGAATCTCCTTCTTTGGAGGTTTTGAAAAAGAGCCTGCAGTGATTCCCAAACTGTGCCCTTTAAGGGATTTTGGACTTCACCTCCCAGAATCCCAGATTATTGGCCAATATGGCTGAGGCTTCTGGGAGCTGAAGTTCCAAACCCCTTCAAGGGCACAGTTTGGAGATCATTGCATGGGCTGTGTTTTGTGTCTTCCTGCATGCCAAAATGGGGTTAAACCGGATGGCCCTTGAGGTCTCTTCCAAACTCTAGGATTATATGAAATCAAAGCACACATTCCTATGAAACACCACCATGACATCTCTGACTCTTTGTCTTGCATCCAGCCCAATTCTGAATATTTATTAAGACCGAACAATCACTTGAAAAACATCCCCATTTCCAAAACATCTCCCCCAAAAGGACCCTTCTCTTTCTCCCTCTGGGGGAAAAAAAAAACTGCTATGGCTCAATGCTATGGAATCCTGGGATTTGTAGTTTTGTTATTTCGAGAGCTGGTGGTGCAGAAAACAAGGGACAAGGCGCAGCAAGTTTGGGAAGGGAGCCAGCCAACAAGCCCCCTGCTCCCTCCCCTTCTCATGCCTAGACCAGCCCACCTTGTTCCCCTTCGCTTTCATTTCTGCCCCTCTCCGGAGTCACTCCGGAGTCCATTCTTGGGTCGAGTGCAGCAATAAGGGGATCGATCCTGGAGATGATTTGGAGAGATGGTGGCGTTTGGGGAAGTCGCACGTCTCTCTTCCTCCGGATTCCGTTCCTGAGAGGGACGTACTAAAACAAATGACAGTATTGCCCATAGGGAAGCCACACTTGCCCATAGACTAGAGAATCATTGGGGAATACTTGCCCATAGGGAATCATAGGGAAACATTGGGGAATACTTTCCCATAGAGAGTCATTGGAAAATACTTGTCTATAGGGATACATTGGGGAATACTTGCCTACAGGGAAACACTTGCCCGTAGAGTGATTCCCAAACCTTGGTCCTCCAGATGTACTGGACTCCCAGAATTCCTGTTATCCAAGCTGGCAGGGACTTCTGGGAGTTGAAGTTCAAATCTTCTGGAAGACCAAAGTTTGGGAATCACTGCGGCGGCGTAGAGGATCATTGGGGAATACTTGCCCATAGGGAATCATAGGGAAACGTTGGGGAATACTTGCCCATAGAGAGTCATTGGAAAATACTTGTCTATAGGGATACATTGGGGAATACTTGCCCATAGGAAAATATTGGGAATTACTTGCCCACAGGGAAATATAGGAAACATCTCCAATGTTTCCCTATGGGCCAGTATTCTCCCAATCTTTCCCTATGGGCAAATATTCTGCAATGTTTCCCTATGGGCAAGTATTCTCCAACGTTTCCCTATAGACAAGTATTCTGGAATGATTCTCTGTGAGCAAGTATTCTCCAGCGTTTCCCTATAGACAAGTATTCTGGAATGATTCCCTATGGGCAGGTAT